GTGATTGCGCCCCTCCTACCGTCTCATTGTGGCTTCTCCTTTGTCTTTGGATGTGGGGTATCTTTCTTGGTGAGTTCCAGTGTCTTCCTGTCGATGACTGTCCAACAGCTAGTTGTGATTCTGGTGTTCTCGCAAGAGGGAGTGAGAGCACGTCCTTCTACTCCACCATCTTGTTTCCAATCTTGCAATCCTCCCTTTCTTGAGCAAGGATTAAATTAGCGTTTTACATGTTAAGATTGAACAATCGTGATTTATTTAACATTTTGAATATAGAAGCTAAAAATAGGTATTGTGAGGTTACAAGGTTAGGAAACAGAAGCTGGTCTTTCCCCTAACTTCTGATGTTCTATTTATTTGCTGTTTTTGTCTGTACACCACCTCCACCATCTTTTTGTTTTGGAATTTTTCTAAGCTACAGACAAGTTAAAAGAATAATACAATGAACATCCATATACTCTTCACCTAGATTTGCCAATTGGTAGCATGTTGCCTTCTTTATTTCTCTTTATATATACCTTTATGAACAATTTTTTTGATGCAACATTTGAACATAATCTGTAAGAATCATGACAGTTCGCCCCTCAATTCTTCAGCATGCATCTCCAAAAAAGAAGGACATTCTTCTACAAAACTACTTGTAAAGGGAAGTTCTCAGATTCTTCCTTTCTGTGTAGGGAAAACCAGTTCCTCCCTCCGGTGTGTTTCTCCCCATGAGTATCGCTTACTACTCACATGAAACACTTCATTTCTGACACTTATGGTCAGATGTGTGGAGTCTTTTCCCCGCACCAAGTGATTCACTGACACCAGCTGGACATCCTACAATTTAATTCAATTCTGACACTACCCAGAGATAGTATCAGATCTCACAGGTTAAGGACTCAGTCCCACAAGACTGCGCCCCCCCCCGACCCCCAGATGCCAGTTGCAAGCCCTGATTGTCACCTGTGCTTCTGACCAACCGACTGTAGATCAGAGATTTTAATGACCCCTCCTTAGGTCTGATTAATTTGCTAGAGCAGCTCACAGAACTCAGGGAAACAATTACTTATATTTACCTGTTTATTAGAGGATATGATAAGAGGTACAGATGAACAGCCAGATGAAGAGTGAGGTTTGGGAGGGTCCTGAGTGTAGGAGCTTCTGTCCCCGTGGAGTTGAGGGTGTCACCCTCCCAGTGTGATGGTGTTCACCAACCTGGAAGCTCTCCAAACCCGATACTTTGGGGATTTTGTGGAGACTTCCTCATGTAGAGACGATCAGTTGATAACTCCATGTCCAAGCCCTCTCTGGAAGACGGGGGAGGGGTTTGAAAGCACTAAGCTTCTAATTGCGACTTGGTCTTTCTGGTGACCAGCTCACCCAGGCACCTCCTCAGACTCACCTCCTTAGAACAAGCTGTGCTCCTATTGCTCCTGTCACTTAGGAATGTGTAAGGGCTTTAGGAGCTCTGTGCTGGGAACCAGGGCAGGGACTAATGCCTGTATTTCTTATTCACAATAGTGGTTGCGTGAATTTATTATCATTATTATTTTTTTTTGCGGTACGCGGGCCTCTCACTGTTGTGGCCTCTCCCGTTGCGGAGCACAGGCTCCGGACGCGCAGGCTCAGCGGCCGTGGCTCACGGGCCCAGCTGCTCTGTGGCATGTGGGATCTTCCCGGACTGGGGCATGAACCCGTGTCCCCTGCATCGGCAGGCGGACTCTCAACCACTGTGCTACCAGGGAAACCCGCGTGAATTTTTTTCATCGTGTTATAATCCACAAAAGTTGCTCAAATTATCTCAAATTTAGCCAGTGGGAGACCTTTCAAGATGGTTCCAGAGGTGCAGTGAATGTAATGGATATAAGTTAAGCTGAAAAGTTGGGGGCGCTGTGGCCAGTGTAGCATGTCAGTTTTCCAAGACTCTGGGATTTTCTTTTAAGGCCTCAAGTTCTCCATTTTGAAATGGTGATAGTGATGTTAATACTTCTGACGAACGCACTCTGTCAAACACTTGGTGTGCATTTTCTCATTTAATTCAAGCAACTGTTATTATCCCCATTATATAGATGAGCCCAGGGGGGATTAAGGGAGACCAGGGAGGTCCAAGGTCACAGAGTGACTAAATGAGGGAGCCAGAGTTTTAAACCCAAAGCCTATTGCTTTCACTGCTGTGCTAATAATGTAGTGTAAGTGTAGATGCATTCAACTCATCTAGGACAGACTTGCAGGGGGAAACATCAGCTTGGAAAAGAGGTAAAGAGGATTTACCTCTTCATCTTTCTTCTCCAAATTACTTTCAGAAACTACTCTTGGTGGGCCAGTCAGACCCCAATTGCTTAGATAAAAATAGACCAGGAGTTCTTTAGTATATTTAAGGAAGTTAAGGAAAATTAAGTATTATTTAAAAATTATATCTATTTATTTAAAAAGTAATATAACCACATTCAGAAAAATTGAAATTCATGGAAAAAGATCACCTGGCTCTCACACATAGTTTTGACAATTACTTTGGACATTTTTATGTTTCTTTTTAAAAATATTTTTTGAATTCATCTAATTTTTAGATATACTCATAGTAGCTCTAAAATGTTGTCTCCTGCTTTTTTTATCCAGTAAGGAAAAAAAAAATTTTGATGATGAAAACCTAGTAGAACTTTCATTCCTATAAGAGTTCATCACTGATTTTTATTACCCCAATTTAAAAAAATGGTCTAGATAAAAATGTACCAAGTCCTCAGGGAATGAATGGACTAGAGGGAAGGGCAGATGTATAAACAGCAATTCTGAAAGGGGAGGGGAATATACACTGCACAGTGGAAGCATGGAGGAAAGGCAGATAATGGTTGTGCCTTGAGGAAGTGGTTCACCAACAAGGTGAAATTAGAACTGAACTTTTTAGGATGGATAGGACTTGCAGAGGATGGGCAAAGGGATTCCTGTACAAGGTACAGGAGTGTACAAAGTCAGAGAGATGGCAGGACTTTGACTTGGTTAGGTGTGGGCAGTTGGAATTCAGGAAATCAGAGGCACTGGCAGCAGGGAGGCTGGGCAGGTGGGTGGCGATTAGATGGTATGGGCCTAGACTGCTTTGTGAAGGGGGTTAGACTAGACCCATTAAAGCCGTTGGGTAATTTTGAGCAACAGAGGTCCTGCACCTTATTTGCACTACAGACAGCTCCCTCTGATGTTGGTGTGCAGGATAGAATCCATCTGTGAACGACAAGAGTCTAGAAGGTGATGTGGAAGGAGGATATGGGTGGTATCAAGAGCAGTCTGAAGCAGATACTATGTTATATGGTAAATTCACATCTTTAGTGTACAAATTATAAAAATGTCAGATGTACCAGCAACTTTTAAAACTTGACATTTCTCAACTTCAGGAGTAATGTCTAGGGCTGCCATGTATAGTTGTGCAGGTTGTTCACTGCACAACAGTGCCTGGCCAAGGAGTGGGGGCAAAATCTGGACCCACCTCTTGCCAAGCTGTGAATCCTGGCATGGACTGTATCCACCCAGAGGAAGCTCCATTTTCCAAATTGCACAAAAACAATGTGGCTAGCAGCAGCCCCAATAACTCCCTTTTCCAGGCTTAGGCCTAGAATGAATTTCTTTAGAATAATCAATGAGATAAGAAATCAAGACACCAAGAGTCAGAGAGCAGTTAAAGTCCCCATTGTTCTCTACCAAATTCATTGTGTGTGTATCAATAGTTCATTCCTCTTTATTGCTGAGTAGTATTCCATGGTAAGGTTACACCAGAATTTGTTTATTCATTTACCTCTTGATGAGCATTTGATTTTTTTTTCCTGGTTTTGACAATTGAAAATAAAGCTTCTATGAACATTTGTGTACAAGTCTTTGCATGGACATATGCTTTCTTTTCTCTTGGGTAAATACCTAGGAGTGAAATGGCTGGATTGAGTGGCAGGTGTGTACTTCACTTTTTAAGAAACTGTCACATGGTTTCAAAGTGGTTGTGCCGTTTTACTTTCCCACCAGCAATATTTGAGAGTTCAGTTTCCTCCACAGGAACCAACACTTGCTATTAGCCCACAGTATCTGAACTATCGACTTGTATGAAGTATGAGGAAGAGTTTGTAATAATCTGATTAATTTAGTCTGTGTAGTCCACCCCAAAATGGATTCAGGTTTAAAAATCAACTTTGGGTTCTACACAATCCAAATTTACTGAGAAAAGGGATTGAGTAAATGCAATCATTACCGCAGAATCCCCTCCATCAGTGTGGTTAAGATCTTTTAATATAGTGAGAAGGTGTTACTCTGTCATTCTCAGTGTCTATGAAGTGTGTGACTCCACCTCCACCTCGCCACCCCACCCCATTCTGGGATCAGAATCCCCTCTGAGACACTGTAAGCTTCTAGTGTGGGTGTGAATCACAGGGAGCTTGTCGAAAACACAGATTTCTGGGCACTTTTCCCTGGATTCTGACCCAGTGATCTGGGCGGGGCCCAGGAATCTGCATTTTCACAGGCACTGGAGTTAAGTCTGTTGGACACACTTTGGTACACCTAACTTATAATTTCTGGGACCAGTTGTTGGCAGTGTGGTGGTATTAAGCATTTTCAAGTGTAAGCTACTGGGTTTCAAGTGAGGTTTTTGATCAGTAGCCTGGTCAGTGCAAGCCTCCTCATGGTTTATGTTTACTTTTTGCATTTTTGGGTTGTTCATATATTATAACTAGACTGACTCTTACCAGGATCGGGATCATTTCAACACTTCCCTTCCTCCCTGCTGTTTTTTTTTTTTTTTTTTTTAAACAGTAAGCCAGAACCCATGATAAAATCTATGGGAGTAAAGTAATATTTTCATGTGAGACAAATCTTTTTTTTTTAAGAGTAACTACTTATTCCCTGAAGAGTTTATATGCTGAGTTCATTCACTTGAATAGTGCAGTCACCATCAAATATGCCGTTGGAATATTTGTTTCTGTTAATCATACAGTGAAGTTTAAATAAAACATTGCTTTTCTCTTTTTAAAATTTACTTTGCTTAGAACTATTTTGGTGGAAAGCTCTCTGCTCAAGGGAAAATGCCTTGGATTGAATATAATCATGAAAAAGTTTCTGGGACAGAATTCATAATTGACTTTCTGGAAGAGAAACTTGGAGTGAATTTAAACAAAAACCTTGGTCCTCATGAAAGAGCCATCTCCAGGGCAGTGACTAAGATGGTGGAGGAGCATTTCTATTGGTGAGTCCCCGCGGGCGCCTGGGTGGGTGTCCAGGGCCTGTCCCTATCGTTTGGAGTAAGCTAAGTTGTTTCACTTTTCAGACACTACCCCCCGCCTTTTCCAAAGTGTTCTACATTCTGACTGACTTAGGGGTCAAAGTTACGACTGTTAAGTTTCTAGGTATCTAGAGCAGGGTTGACATTTTCTGCGGAGGCCCAGCTAGTGCATATTTTAGGCTTTTCGAGCCATATGTGTCTGTGGCAACTACTTAACTCTGCAGTTTTAATGCAAAGGCAGCCGCAGATTGTACACACATGAGTAAGTGTGACTGTGTTTCAATAAAACAAAAGCACTGAAATTTGAATTTCATTTAATACGAAATACTATTCTTTTGATTTTTTTTTCCTCAACCATTTACAAATATGAAAACTTCTTAGCCCATGGGCTGTATAGTTGGCTGACCCCTGATCTAAGTCACTGAGGTGAGGGAGATATTTCAGTCGACTGGGCTTTTTACCAGTACAAACTGCTGAATTAAAGTGATAGTACATCAGATACCCAGAAGGAACAGAAGACTAAGGCAGGACAGAAGTCTCAGGTGACATGAATTAAGCAAGCTTTGGCAGAGTATTGTCAGTTTTCCTTGGATGACAAGAGCTTCTCTATGATCCAGAAGTAAAGCATACTACTATTTTCTGAGCAACTTTGCCCTGATTGGCTGACTGCTAGCCTGTACTTTGCTCTGATTGGCTGACTCCTATCCTGTACCTTGCCTTGATTGGCTGACTCCTATCCTGTACCTTGCCTTGATTGGCTGACTCCTAGCCCGTATTCCCTGAGTACGAAGCCTAACACACACTGTGTGGATGAGGTAGGTACCCCTGTGCTGCACCTGGCGTGCTGGCTGTGACATCACCTGAGTTAAGCAGACTTGGTTCTTCTTGCTTTACAAGCTCATTGATATGTGGGTTTCTTCTTTTTCTTTCATCCGTCTTCTGGAGTTTTAGCATATTTCTATACACTCCAATAGATAAGAGACGTTTTCTCCCTGATTTCTGCACTTTATCTTGTTCCAAAGATTTAATAAAGAATTGCTGAGCCCACTTTTTTTGGCATTAATTGTTACTCCTGGGTTATTGCTCATCGAGTAGCTTTTACCTCTTCCACCAAGGGATTCACTCGCTGTGGGGTTGATTGTAGAAGGTTTTTTGCCATCACATTCCTATTTCCTCCATTCAGCTCTCTTTCTAAATGGAAAACTTGTCTCTTGGATTCTGTGACCGTCTGTTTTTCGTTTTCTTTTTCCACTTTCAGTTCTTGCTCACTTTATTCCAGGGCTGACCTGAAGCACCACTTTCTTCCCCTTCTCACTGCAGAGGGTGGGAGGAAGGAGGGAACCAGACAGAGTGGAGTCAGGGGTGCAGATCAGCCTGGGAGTGATCACAGACTCCGTGTGCCCAGAATGAACTCGGGTCTGCTCCTTATAGTACCTGTGGAGAACTGCTGGCCCTCCCCTCTCAAAGAGTGCAGGGGTTGCAATGTGGACCAAAATGCATGAGTGCAGGTGACATGCTTAGTCTCAGGGAAAAACCTTTGAGAGACAGAGTCGTCTCACCTGCTTGCCAGGTTCCAGTCCCCGCTTTGCAGCGATCAGGGAAATGAAGAACCAGTACAGGCACCCAAAAACCCTCGGTGTCTTCCCTTGCTGAGGCCACCGTCAAAGTGCTATATTTTTTAGTGGATGGGCCCATTAATGCGGAGAGCTAGCACTTTGTCAGCTGCCTGAAAAGCCGGAAGTCTTACATTTAAGTTGGTATTTTTCTACACTCTTTGTTTTCTGTAGTGGTTCATAAAATTTATATTCAAGTTAGAAAGATTTTGATCCAGCTAGATTCCCAAGTACCACCCATCACTGCTTCTTGCTCTGGGTATTAGTGACATTTTATATATGTTTACTCTCTGGTAGAGGTTCATCTCCTGCTCTTCCCTTCCGTTCTCTTCCTAATGAGAGGGTCCCTGCTAACGAGATGGGGTATGGTGGGGAGGGGTGGGAGAGAGAGTTGGGAGGTGGTACCCTGGTGGGGAAGAATCTTAATTTTACAGACTACAAACCCTCAAGTGCTTGGGAAGTTGCTTAGGTCATTTGTAGATTCTTCTTCTTTTAATTAAAAAAATACTTTTTTTGGGTTAGCTACTGTTTCTCATTTGTGTCTCAAGGGTTAATTTGAGGAACAGATAGTGAAGGTGGGAGGTCAGGTCTTGACTGAGATATAAATATCCAGTGAACTTTCAAAAAAAAAATCCGAATTCCTCCAATTTCTTTTAGTCTCTAGTAGTGGAAGGAAAAACAAACTTTCTCTGTTTCATAAACTTTCCAAACCTTTAGCCAACTTCTTGCTTTGGGGAGATCCCGAACAGGCTTTCCTGAGAGCTCTAAATCCCAGGGGAGAAAAGACACCCCCACCCCCACCCCGCCTCCCAGCCCCACACTGCCCGTGCAACCCATGGTAAGAAAATGTGTACCTGTGGAAACCGGGGGCCAGCATAGGGAACTGACCACAATATGTAAGAAAATATTACGAGTATGAGCTTTCCATGAGAGCTTGTTAAATTCTGACCATCAGCGTGCTCTAAGGTTATGTTTGTACTTAACAGAAGTGGAAGAAGTGGAATCAATTGTTTGACTCAGTTGATTCAATTATCTGGAGTTTTCAGATATGTTTATTTTGGTCTGAAACTTTAAAAATACTCCACTTCACATATGATTTTCTGAAAAGCGAAGACATTGGACGGCTGTCATTATATAACATCACATAATTCTGAAGCTCTGAGTTAGGTCTGTTCAAATAAGCACACTCAGCTATAAAGTGGTTTTTCCTGAACTTGAAATCCATACATTTGCATTATACAGCTATTACTGAAGATGAGGGAGATGGGTTTTCATTCCCTTTGTTCCACTGGATGCTCAAGTTAGATCTAATGCAGGGAAGCCGGTGTAAAAGCGAAGTCTGATTACTGGAACGAAATTGAGTTTTGGTAACAGAAGCTATAGCTGCTTCTGTGTGACATACTGCCCCCTTGTGGACACTACTGAGTGTCTTGCGCGCCTTCCAACCCCATAGGGACGTGTGCAGGGCACCGTTGTCAAACTATCTATAGCCATAACAGTTTTACCCATAAAAATATAGGTGTTAGAATAGAGGATTCAAATTCATCTTTAGGTTGGCCATAATCTTTAAATTTTGATTTTGGCTTTTGGTGAATGGGAGAGTTGGGATGCTTTAATAAAATGACTTACCCAAGATCTCCTTCTCTAAAAGCCAGGAGACACTTTCTCCCTGATTACAGCTCAATTGATGTGGTCCCTTCTCCTTTCTTTTTTTGTCCCCCTCCACCCTTACTTTTAGATGTAGTGAGGACCCCTGTTTGGAAAGGCTAATCTAATGCCTGTGAAATGTGGTGAAATTACAGAAGCATATCACATGCTCTCGCACCCTTGAGCATTTAGAGTACAAGTGAAAGATGGCAAGGATGTAGCATGACCCAGAAAAAGGCGTTCTCATGGTTGGGAAGGCCATATGCTAAGACTCATTTGTCAAACAGTAGTTTGCCATGGTTTGCAGTTTCTCACGTGTGTACTAATAGTCATTTCTGCTATGGGCCAGGCCTCATGTTAGGTTATAATGAGGGATATTGTCATTAAAACATCAGAGATCTGCTTTTCTTTCCTGCCTTCCTAATCTGCTTTAAAAAGGTTTGAGCAGGGTTTACTCTTCTGTTCTAAGATAATCAATATTGAAAAAAGAGAAAACCTCTCTGACCTCATTTTGTAGGAGAGACCAGATACATCAGTTGCGATAACGAAAATGAATATCAACTTCCTGAGAGAGGCTCTCAGAATGAGAAATTATTTTAATTGCTCCACCTGGTCTAGTTTCCAAATTGGCCTTCCCCGTCCTCTCCAGTTAATAATTCATGATTCCTTGTGCAGTGGGCCTCTTCCCAGTGGAGAGTGAAGAGGCAGATCCTAGAAGAGAATGGTGGCAGCCCCTTCTTCATTCTCCGTAGACATCTCTCTTTCCATTTCTCTGTGTAAATATTGTCAGCCCTTAGAAACACTACTTAGCAGAGGCTGGCTCAGAAGTGAAGGCTTTTCATTCAATTGATAATTCATTCTTTCAGCAAACTTAGTGAATGGATGACTACCAGTAGCTGGCACTGTGCTGGATGGGGTCGGGGAAGCAAGGTGATGAGATGCCGTCCCTGTCCTCAGGTGGCTCACAGGGGAGGGAGGCCCCCAGCTTGCATAGTGGCCAGCGCCGGGGGAGAGTTTGAAGAACCGAGGCCAGGCAACCAGCACCTGCCGGAGCAATGAGGGGAAAGCTTCCTGAGGAGATGGTGCCACAGCAGAATCTAGGGCCAATCAGGGTGGCAGGTGAAGGGGCCAGGTGAGAGGGGAAGATGAGACACCCCAAGAAAGGGGTGTCTGGGGGGGCATGTGTAATTCTGTGTGGTGGGTGCACGGGAGGTGATGCAAGTGTTGGGGTCCGGCTGCGGGAGGGGTGGGAGGCTGGCGTGCCAAGCTAAGCAGCTATGGGGAGTTAATGGATGACTCTGAGAGGCAGCGCGGTGCCATTCGATTTGTGTTTTAGGAGGCTTTTTGTGGCTGCCTCGGGGGAAATGGATTTCTGGAGGGCCTTGAGGGGCTGTCAGGAGACCTGCAAGGAGGCCACTGCCCTCAGGGTTGAGCAGTGGTGCAGCCTGCACTGCAGTGTTAACTGAGTTGGAGAAAAGGGCAAAGCCACAGGGTGACTGGCTCTCAGGAGTGAGGCGTGGGGAGCGGTGAACAGGAACTCCTGGGGTTCTTTCTGGTTTGGGTGAAGAGTAGCAGAACTGGAGGAAAGGAAGAGGGTGAATCCAACTTTGGAAATGTTGGTTTGAGCTCCCGAGGCTCCTTCACATGGATCCGTGGACCTCAGGGCAGAGGTCTCATGGGCAGTCCTCACTTTGAAATCATGAGTGTGAAAATCAGATCACCCTATGAGTGACGTGTAAGAAGGTGGAAGGAATAAAGAGAAAAATCTTGGCAACATGGAAGAGGTGAGAGATAAAGCAGTAGAGACGTAAGCTAAGGGAGAATTCTAAGAGGATGATGGTGTTGGCTGCTGCGGAGAGTTTAAGAGAGATAAAGATGGAAAGAAAATGTATGTGAACTTTGCAATAAGAAGGGATTGTTGACTTGGACGAGAGTGGTCTCGGTGGAGTGGTGGGGATGGAAGACCCACCACGTGGAGAGTTTTCAGGAAGCTTGGGTGTGGGAGGACATGGATTAGTGGTTGTTATGATATGGAAGCATGCATGAGTGATGTCTTTGACCTGTAGAAGTTGACCTGACATTGTCGTTTATACACACTTTATGGGGCTTGACCCTGGAAGAGCCTGCCTGGCCCTCATTTGCTTCTCTTCCCTGATACTGGTCTGTAATTTGGGGCACAGGGAGTGAAAGAGAGGAAAGAAATAGAGAGCAGGGTGGGAAAGAGAAGGGAAGAAGGCCAGACAGTTTCTGAGGTTACTTTTAGCTGCAAAATTCTGAATCAACCCAGTGTTTCTTCTCTGCCCTGCATCTGACCTGCTAACGCAGGTGGAGAACCTTACCCCATTGCATCGGGGCCGGGAGGCGTTTCTCGTCCGTGCTCAGCTGTGTGGCCCAGACTGCAGCTGCCTCCTCCCTCCCCGCCTGCTCCTCTAACCCGTTGGTCTTCTCAGACTCTCTTCTCAGTGCTCCGTCCTCGTCTTCTGCCTGCGCCCTCATTTCCTGCTCTCAGAGGAGACCAAGTTCATCAGGCGGGAACCTGGAACCTCTCTGCAGCCCCTCACATCTCCATCTCACAGAGAGCGGTGTCCCTACTTCTCTCCAAGCTGGCCCTTCCAGCCTGGCCTTCTGGTCTTCTCACTTACCCTTGAACTAGGTTTCTCCCAAACCACTCCTTATACTAGAAACTTTCTTAGGTGACCTCAGCTCCTCTCACAGCCTTGAAACTGCCACTGCCATGCCCCTGCCCATAAATTCTTTCTCTTGAGTCTAAACCTATCTTGTGAATTCGCAACCTTCGGGACATCCTCCCTTGGAGGTTCCATGGAACCTTCAGATGCAACAGGTTAATTCATCTTTGGTCACCTAAATCTGTCCCACCTCGTGTATGCTGGTACTGGTTACCATCCACTCCAACCATCAGCCTGGGAGATGACTTCCTCTGTGGTTTCTCCACTTCCGGTCCTTTCCTCACCTTGCCACACATCTGATTATGTTTCTTGTCTGCTTAAAACCTTTTGGTGGTTAAACTTTGCTTTCTGAATAAATCTTAGCACCCTTTGCATCAGACCCCTCCTGACCCAATTCTTGCCCACCCTTCTAGCTTCAACTCTTACAAGCTCCCTCAGGCATCCCGGACCCCACCGCCTGTCCTGAAGTTCTTGCAGTTCATAGAGCAGCCAGGGCTCTTCGTGCACATGCCTCTGCCTCTGCTTCATGCTGGTGAACTTCTGCTCATTCTTCAAGATCAGTTGTGCTTGTGATAAAGCCCGTGCAATTTGTCTACAAAGAATGTATTCTTTTTCACATCAACCTGTCCGTTTAGAGCCACCATATTCCTCACTTTTATGCTTTAGATGCTTCCTGGATGCTATCATTACCTGGTCATACTTAACTTAGGATAATTTAGTTTTATTCTCGGATCACTGACTTCCAAAATAATCAAGGATGGTAGAGGCCTTTTACTGTGAATTTAGATCTAGTACAGTTAGAATCAAAGTGCTGATTATTCCGAAGAAATTTGAAAATTGACACCCTCATGACTGCAGGTATAAAAAGAAGAGGAAATAGAAAAATGTTTTGTTTGCATGTGTATAAAGAATCTATTAGAATAAATGAAATCTTTTATATATTAATTAATATATAAAATATACATATTAATATTAATTAATATTAACATATAAAATATACCTATTAATATAAATACATAAAACATACACATTAATATTAATTAATATCAACATATAAAATATACATACTAATATTAATTAATATTAATATACACATTAATATTAATTAATATTAATATATAAGATATATTAATATTAATAACATATTAATTAACACATATTAATTAATCACCATTGCAATGTACTTTTTCTACATATTAATTAATCTACATATTAATCACCATTGCAATGTACTTTTTCCTCTTCTCAGTCAAAATTTCTTTCCTCCTCAATACTTTATTTTGAGATCCTTACAAAAAGAGGTACACAAATATTTCTAACAAGATTTGTAAGCATCTTTTAAAAAGCTAATAAAGAAGAGTTGTGGTTGTAGTACAGAGTATGTTGAAATTGGTTGTGGGACTTTTCAGTAAAAATCAGGAAGGCTTAAAAAGATGAGAGAAATCTTTTTTTTTTTTTCTTATTTTCATACTCAGGAAAGAGCACTGAAAAGAATAGAACTATATAAAATGATCAAAATTTCAGGGCCTTATTTTCTGCTTTTGTTTCTTTTTCTTGAGGTGGAAAGTAGCTACAGTTGGCTATCAACCCTTGCGTTCTCTCTGTAAAAAATATTTTCATTCCTCTGATGTTTTCCAAGTGACCATTACTGCTGTATCAGCCAACAGTGGGAGTAGGGATGACTCCAGTACAGCTTTTATTGCTCACTGTGAGGAAAAGCTAAAACATCTTCTGCCTGTACGCCTACAGCTATGTTTTTCTTAGCCTTCAGTAGGAAAACCTTTTAATTTCTATCTACCAACACTATGAACCATAAAAACATTCCTACGATTGCCCAGGTTCAGAGAACAAACTCAGCAAAGGCCTGGGTATTGCAACCAGCATAGCACATGAGCAGTGAATAGCTGCTTAGCTGTCCACACATACTACGCAGGAGCCCCTGGACGGGTGGGTGTTTGCCATGAGCACCACCCAGATGGGAAGACTGATCCAACCAAGTTCCTTTGGTGTTCATGCGCACTCTAGGGCCCTGGAGAGCAAACCAAAGCAGAGAGCTGCCTTTCTGGAGAATGAATCATTTATGTACTATTTATAATTTATATGGTTTATAGTAAACATAGACAGCTATACCTATTCCCTGATCCTGTCAAAAAGGCAAAAAGATTTCTCTTTAAAAAATCCTTTCATATCAGGAAATATAAAATGCATACACAAAGTGTATAAGACAAAAATGTGCAGCTTAATTAATTAACACAGAGCATAAAAAAGAATAATGCCATTTGCAGTAACATGGATGGACCTAGAGATTATCACACCAAGTGAACTAAACCAGACAGAGAAAGACAAGTATCATGTGATATCGCTTATATGTGAAATCTAAAAAAAATGATACAAATGAACTTATTTACAAAACAGAAATAGACTCACAGACATAGAAAACAAATTTATGATTATCAAAGGGGAGGAGGGATAAATTAGGAGTTTGGCATTAAAATACACACACTACTATATATGAAATAGATAACCAACAAGGACCCACTGTATAGCACAGGGAACTAAATTCAATATCTTGTAATAACCTATAATGGAAGAGAATGTAAAAAAAGAATACATGTATATAAGTACATATATATATATTTATAAAACGGAATCACTTTGCTGTACACCTGAAACTAACACAACATTGTAAATCACTGTAAAAATTTAAAAAAAAACCCCACAGAGCACAGACCTTTATAACCATTACTTTGATCAAGAAAGAATGAAGCCAGCACCCCAGTCCTTGCTGCCTCCTTCCCGATGCCCCCCACCCCGCCACGTAGGTACTCACTGTCTTGTCTAAAAGCCTTTTAAAGTGGGTGTCTACTTGTTTTCTGTGGGGCTGGCTGAGAGAAAGCAGAAGCATGGCCTTGGGGGCTGGGGGATCTGTGGGCAGCTGCAGTTCGGTGGGATGGTAGCATGGCAAGCTGTCTGCGTTTGTCACTGTTTCTCCCTCAGGCCCTAAGTCCAGGCATGGACTAGAGTCTGTTGTAATAGCTGCCGTGCAGACTGCTCTTTGGAAAAGCTGCAATGATTCAGTCCTCCAGAGTGTGCTAAATTCCCAACCCCTCACTGGAACTTGACTCTGTGGACCTGCTATGTACCTAACGCACAGTAGTAACTTGTTTCCACGCAATTGCAGGACCTTAGCTTATTGCCAGTGGGTGGACAATCTCAATGAGACCCGGAAGATGCTCTCTCTTAGTGGTGGCGGTCCCTTCAGTAACCTGCTGAGGTGGGTCGTGTGCCACATAACGAAAGGAATCGTGAAACGCGAGATGCACGGCCACGGCATTGGCCGCTTCTCAGAGGAGGAGATTTACATGCTGATGGAGAAGGACATGCGGTCTTTAGCAGGGCTTCTGGGTAACGTACCATGTCTTCTATTCTATATTTTCTATCCTTACTTTTTGCATGATTAGTAAAGCACTGTTAGTTTACTGACTTAAAGTTTTATTTTTGTTCGTTTCTTTGCTTCCACATGTAGGTTGCAGTCGCACCATTTAATCAAGTCCCCTAATTTTCAGGAGCACATGTCTCTCTCTTTTTTTTTTTTTTTTTTTTTTTTTGTGGTATGCGGGCCTTTCACTGTTGTGGCCTCTCCCATTGCGGAGCAGAGGCTCCAGACGCGCAGGCTCAGCGGCCATGGCTCACGGGCCCAGCCGCTCCGCGGCATGTGGGATCCTCCCGGACTGGGGCACGAACCCGTGTCCCCTGCATCGGCAGGCGGACTCTCAACCACTGCGCCACCAGGGAAGCCCACTTGTCTCTCTTTTTAATCACTAGAGCATGACTGTTTCTAGTGTGGCGTTGCCTCGTGTAAAGAGAACGTGGAACGTGGTGTAGCATTACTAACTAGCTGTAAGTGATGCTGGCATTTCTGAATGTGTCGTGAGCCAAGGGGGATTTTGAGCAAGGAAGCTCTTCTGTTTATAAACAGGTCAGGGTAAAAGGCTGTTTATAAACACATCTGCTCAGAAGATGCGACTGGGTACTGTCAACATCAAGCTAAGAGAGATGCTGACCCAGCCCGAGTACACGTGCAACATTTGACATTTTCTCACCTCTTTCATTTCCCTTTGTAATCCGAGTCGTCCTCTTATTAGCATGTTTTAACTCTTCTGATTTTGTATTTACTGCACCCAGTGGGTTTAGCTGTGTTGGGAAGCCTCTCAGAGAGAAGCACAGAGCGGCATCTGTTCGTGGGTGGGTGAGGATGCTTAGCCGAGTGACACTCCCTTGCTCACCTGGTCGGCTGGAGGTGGCTGGGCTGATGTGACTTTGTACTGGACAGAGTTTGCGTCTCAGCTCTGACAGGTCACAAGCAGATCATTCGAATTCAGGAGCTTCAGTGTGTGGAATGACGGCCTCTCCTGGAAACAACTAACGTATATGGAGCCAAGGTCATAGGACCTAGTCCTTTGGGGCTGCTGATTTTGTCAGTGAGTTTTCACTGACCCCCTCTCAGTACCCTCATTATCCATTCTGGAGCACACTAGGTACTTCACCTCCTCCAGGAAGTGGGGTTTGGGATTTGTTTTGTTGAAACCTACCTGGTGCCGAGGAACGGGGGGCTGTGCTGGGTGTAACCACCCCTGTGCAGGGTGGCCCACTCTCATGGGCTTCTTCATGCTCTTCGCTCCACTTACTGGACCTGGAGTCCTCCCCTGAACCTGGCCTGCAGGGGGAGAGCCCAACAGGGCATCCAGCTCTTGGCCAGCCTTGTCATGTGGGGGGTTTGACGCCGCTGGGCTCCTGCCCTAAATAGACACTCAGGAGCCCTGCCTGGCTTGGAGGTTGACGCTGTCTGGACCTCCTGGTGCTTTGCCTCCCTGGGCCCAAGTGGGCCTGCCTGATGTAGGTATGAATGGAATTTGCCTCGAGTTTGCCTCGTTCCTTTGGAAACTTAGTATCGGACTCTCGGCCTCACACAGAGCAGGTGCACAGAGGGCCATTTCCTCCTAGCAGCGGCACTATCTGCTCCTGGCTTCCTTCCCAACTCACGCTGTTGGGAGCCCCAGAAAGCCAAGAGTGGAGACCCTGAAGTGATGACAGCTCATCTCTAACAACAGTGTTCGTTCCTTAACTAGAGTGGGGTGATCGTCTCCCTTCTATAGAGCATTTTTGGTTGGGAGAACCTGGGGGCAGGGTGATAGCAATAATAACGATAACGCCAGTGTCCCTCTGGTATTTAATGACTCAGAAGAATGCTTCCACCCCAGTGATGGTGAGATGGGAGAAATGAATCACTGATAGCTAGGCTGTCAGTGGCAAGTATTCACAACAGCATCCCAAGTCCAGGTGATTTTCTAGGATGAGAAACTGAGTGGGTTACTTGCAAAGCTGGATTTTACTAGAGTTATATTCTGTATGGGGGCCCAGGGAGCAGTCTAGCTTTGAACTCTATCACAGGAGAAGCACTTTTTCTGCATTTGGGGAGGGAGAGGCTCTGGGGCTGAACATCATAGTTTTTCTTACTAAATGAGGCAGAAAGCAGCTATTTCTCCCTTCACCCAGGGTTATAGCTTACTTTTTTTTTTTTTTTTTCTGCGGTACGCGGGCCTCTCACTGCTGTGGCCTCTCCCGTTGCAGAGCACAGGCTCCGGACGCGCAGGCTCAGCGGCCATGGCTCATGGGCCCAGCTGCTCCGCGGCATGTGGGATCTTCCTGGACCAGGGCACGAACCCGTGTCCCCTGCATCGGCCGGCGGACTCTCAACCGCTGCGCCACCAGGGAAGCCCTGTATAGCTTACTTTTAATGTCCAGCTGCCTAAGAGACTCAAAATGCAAAATGACTTTTTATTGAACTATTTCAAGATTTGGGGAAATTGTCCAGGGATGTATTTGACTCATTAGGATAAATTAGTTATTGCTGTTTCAGTTCAACTGACTTCAGTGATTTGACACCTTCTATGTGCCAGGAGCTGGGAGATTGATTATAAAGATGAGTTAGAGCTTGTTCCCGCTCTCAAGTGCCTATAGTCGAGTGGGAGGGATGAACCTATAAGCCAGGAGCAGGCAAATTACAGCCCATAGCTGGTGGCCTATTGTTGTTGTTGTTTTGTTTTTTTTAAATGGCCTGTGAGCTAAGAATCATTTTTACATTATTAAAATGTAAGGAAGGGCTTCCCTGGTGGCGCAGTGGTTGAGAGTCCGCCTGCCGATGCAAGGGATGCGGG